ATGGATGACAGAACAAGGAGCAATGGTCTCAAGTTACAGTGGGGAGGTCTAGGTTGGATATTAGGAAAAGCTATTTTCCTAGGAGGGTGGTGAAACACTGGGATGGGTAACCTAGGGAGGGGGTGGAATCTCCATCCCTAGAGGTTTTTGAGTCTCCGCTTGACAAAGCCCTGGCTGGGATGATTTAACTGGGATCGGTCCTGCCTTGGGCAGGGGCTGGACTCAATGACTTCCTGAGGTCTCTTCCAGCTCTATGATTCTATAAACACTGTGTGCAGCCCTCATGTACATTTCAAAGCCACAGTGCTCTCATGGAGCCTGGGGTCAGTGGGGGGCTCCCCAGCTGATCCTGGGTTCCGTGGAAATGCCATGCCAGAAGCTGGGGTCAGCTGGGAAGTCCCCAGCTGACCCCAGGCTCCATGGCTCTGCCCCTTTGAAACACTGAGGTGGAGTTTTAAAGGGGCAGTGCCACACAGCTGAGCCAGGGATCAGCTGTGTGATGGCTGCCCCTTTGAGATGCTGCCTTGGGGTTTCAAAGTGGCAGGGGGGGGGCGTGTGCAGTGCTGCCACTTTGAAATACTCCTTCTTCCCCTCCTCTCCTTGCTGCTTCTATCTGATAGAGGTGGTGGTGAAGGGGTTGGGGGGAGACTAGTCCTTAACATCCTTACTTTGTGCTATGTGGCAGATGTTGGGAATAAAAAACCACCAGGGTGGACAAGGCACTGAGAGCAAGGCAAATGTGAAAATTCTAGTGCCAAGGACAAAGTGGATAATATGCAGGCCAGCTTTTCAGAAGCAGAAGAGCTTGCACAGTAGGAGCGGGAGAGCGAACACATCTAGGGGTCTGTCTGTCAATCAATTCAGATGGAAAGATTTGTGTAGATGATGTGAATTTTCTCTGAGAAGAAAAAGTTGGTCACTTGCTGCTGCTGCAATTTATATTAATTTTATTAAAAGCTGGGGATGCATTTATACCAAATCCTTTCAACAGCTGTTGAAAGAAACTCCACTAGAACCCATTTGCTGCTAAAGAAAGTAGTTTAATCAAAATAGAATATTTAGTGAAATTATGTTGATGTCAGCAAAAATTTGTTTTGGAGAAAATCCAAGGGAAGAAGTATTCTAATATCAAAAGTGGTTAGGAGTCCTATGGCACCTTATAGACTAACTAAAGTGTTGGAGCATAAGCTTTCGTGGGGAAAGACCCACTTCGTCAGATGCATGACTTTGCCCATGAAAGCTTATGCTCCAACACTTCAGTTAGTCTATAAGGTGCCACAGGACTCCTCGCCGCTTTTGCAGATTCAGACTCACACGGCTACCCCCTGATACTCTAACATCAAAGTGTCTTGTTTTGATATTTTTACAGTTGAACATTTGAATTTCTCATTTTGAAATGATTTTTTTTTTAAATTTTTGTGTGGCATCATTTATTCTAGTATCAAATTTTAAATGGTAAAAATCAAAGTGAAATGTTTTGATTTTGCCCAGTGTAAACATTTTGAGCAATATTAAACAAAAAATATTTTTAAACCATTACCAGCATGGACAATTTTGCTTTTTTTCTAGTTCAAAGCAAAGATGAATTTTGAAATCTCAAATCTTTCATTAAATGGGATTTCTGTCTTTTTTTGGCACATCTTCTTATTTGAATTAACCAAAACTCCAGATCTGAATAGCTCAGACTGAGAGATTAGATCTTCTGATAAACTGCATTGCTTGTGCTCTTTCCTATTAAAAATTTGAATATAGGTGCAAGTTTAGGGAACACTGGTAGCTTGCTGAGAATAGTACACAGTAGGACATAACTTTATTGGAACTTAACTTAGAGCTTTCTTGGAACTGAAATATCCTGTATATAGCACAGAGACCTGCAAGTCACATCAAAGAGGAGAGTTTAATAATGTGGGACTGGAGAATGGATAAAGAAGGTCAAAGAATGAGATCTGAGAGAGGAGACTGAGAGGGACAGAAAATTGAGTTGAGAGGAAAATGGGAGCAGGGGGTGAAAGGAGAAAAGAAATAAGGAGAAATGAGGGGGAAAAAAAGGAGTGGAATATAAATAGGAAAAATATACAAGGCAGAGAATAGCAAAGAAAAGACAGACGGAAAAACCACAGGGAAGATTTATTTAAAAAAATTGCAGCTTGCTGAAATATGGTTGGTGTGGCTGGGTTTTTTTTTTTTATACCCTGCTATCTAAGCTCTGACTGTTTTAGGCTGAAGGTAAATGGCATTGGTGGATAACATACAGGTAACTTCGGTGCTCTTCTGAAGAGCTTCTAGTGTCCCTGACAACTTGTTCTAATTGCTCAAGTTCAAACACTTCAAATGCTCAGTGTGACTAAGAGCACTTATAATAGGTTGATGCAGCAAAGCCTTCTCTCTATAGTATCGTTAGGCTAGCTATGTTTTCACAAATGCCATGGGGTGTCTTTCGTGTTGCATGTTGACAGCTTATCTTATTTTGTCCAAGAAGAGAGTCAGTACTGTAAATATGTTCAGTTCAGGAATGTTGTTAGGACTGGGGGAATTGGTTGGAGAAAATAAAAATTACCTCAGAACTCAGTCTATTGTACATTTTAAATAAGAGTGTTCTCTCTGAGCTAAGAAATGTTTGGCTGAGCACTTCATTCCATCCACCAACCATGTCTTCACCCTTTATCAAAACTGATCTCCTGCACATCAACTGGTGTCTTCAGTTTCAGTGAGTAGCAAGAAATATATTCTGGGGCTTTGGATCTCCAGAGCCCAACAAAATTAGTGGGATTTAAAGGGGCCACAAGGAAATGACCAGCATTATGGGTACCTGGCCCCCAATGGAGTATCTTCGTAGGGTGTATTGGGAGCTGGTGATTCAGGAGATCAGCTTGGGAATAGCTGGGCTCTTGGGGATAAAGAAGAGAATTTAGCTGGAAAGCCTTTTGGAGTAAGCAGAGAGGTGAGGTTGAGAAATTTTGGGGCTCTTTTGAAAATTGAGGAAAGGAGTTAGGAGGGTAAAGAAATTACTGACCTCTGACTTGGGAAGGAAAAATTGGGGTGAGGGAAATGGTATGATAAGATCCTAAGACCAAGGAGAAGTTACTGGTTGGGTTTAGTGAAAATAGGGGGATAATGGAAAAGGAAACCACTGTGTGGAGTGACTTTATACTGTGATGTAGAAAACAAAGACACTGCTCTCTTTCTTGGGACTGTGCTGTGTAATTTAAAATGAAAGTAAGCTTAGTGGGGAAGTACCTGTTTTTTCTGAGGTAAACTGCAGAAGATCACCTAAACAAGCATTTGTGGAACAGCTCCTGCTTGTTGTTATGCTTAACGATTTGGGCACACAAAAAATATTCATTAAAAGCAATGGATATACCATAGGTCTGGGAACTTTTGTCTGTCTCCCTGCCTTTCATGTTCTACTTATTTCTCAGGCAGGATCATAACGAAGGCCCTTTTCTCAACAGGGAAAAAGGAACCAAACTTAATAGTATCTTTTGTGGGCTGTGAGGTGTAGGAAATATCAGACCTGCATTACCCCTCCACCTCTCCAGTCTAGACAACAAACGTGTGTATGCAATGTGCATGGAACCAAACCTTCACACAAGCAACACATTTCCCTCTAGGTTTCCTGTGATGTTCTGGGGTGTATTGTAATTACATATGGGATAAAGAGACCCTGCACTTGTAATTAGCATTTGTACAGACCGACAATGAGTGCAATGGATGGCTTTCCAGGGGACTGGGGCCATACCAGCTGAGAGGTTCAACTTTGGAACATTTATTTCCAAATCGAAGTCAAACAGTAAACTCATTTTCTGAACTTGTGGAACCTGCCGTCTCCCTTGTATCCCTAGGATAAAAGAATAATCCTGGATATTATGGTACTAGCCAAGGCTCCAGTTCATAGTGGCCACCCATTGTATTACATGCTGCACAGACACACAGCAACTGCCCTGCTCTAATGAGCTTCCAAACTTATTAGAGAAGGCAGACAAAGGGCCGACGCTCATTGTCCATAAAGGTTTTTAGGTGACTGAGACAGGCCTTTCGGATACCCAGCTCCCAAAGTGAGCTGCATACTGCACATTGCCACAGCAAAGCTCATTCTAAAAACAGGGCCAGTAAAAGTTAATCTATAGTTTAAACAGCCCCATCTACTCATAAAACAGAAAGATTATAATAGCAAGATTTTTCTTCCACCTGTTTGCTAATGTTATAAAAAGGCTCTACAAAGGGAACAGCAGTGGTGCATCCTGACAGACGACAGGAGTTGGCAGATGTTTTTTAATTAAAAGAATTCAGGTAATGAAATGATACCAATGGTAGACAAGAGAAACAGAAATAACACACACACACACACACTGTTAGCCATGCAGCACCTGCTCCCCAATTGTTCTAAAGCCATTGTCAAAGATATTTAAAAATAGATATGATGCGAGTCCCATCTAATACGGGGATGACCTATAAATGACCCATGCTTTGAGTGAGCAAGTATTGACTTAATATATTTTGCTGCTAGTCTAAGAAGTATATGCCAAAGAGGAAACCTGATTGACTAGATGCTTTTTAAAACAAATTACTAATCTCACAAGGGTATTATGAGGATTAACTCAAGGTTTCTGAAGTACTGTGAGATCCTCAAATGGAAGGCTCAACACCAGAGCAAAGTATCATATTTCTATAACATAGCTGTGTTCATATTTCTGGGGGTGCCACTTTCTCACATGGTGACATTTAGGAAATTCTGATTCATCAATAGAAATTCTGCTTTGTGCTAAGTTGTTTCCAGAGGAGGGTTCTCAGTAATGTCAGCAGGATCCTGGGTTGAAAGCAAGGTTCCCTCTAAACTGTGCAGCAGCATGTCCCCACAGCTGCTTAATGAGCCCCTGCCCAGCCAGGGGCTCAAGGCTTTTCACACAGAGCTGCCTGGCTGGGGGAGGGGCACTTCTCCCTCAGTTACAGTAGCAAGTCTCCCCCAGCCGGTAGAGAGGGGCTGTGTCCCTATGGGCTGGGAGACACTGGCTGCTCTCCCTCAGCGACAGCAGCAGAGGACAGAAGTGCCCCTCCCCCAGCCAGTCAGCTCTGTATGCAGAGCCCTGAGTCCCTGGCTGGGTGGGGGCTCATTAAGCAGCTGTGGGGTCGTGCTGCTGCACACCTTGGAGGGAACCCTGGTTGAAAGGGTATGCATTGCATTTTTATTATTACTTACTAGAAGATTTACCTGGCATTGCTTGGGTCCTCATCTCAATACATTTTGAAATCATTGCCCTGGGGTTTGGCTGGGACTGAGGGGTTTGTATGCCGGCTGCCCCAGGGAGAGAGAGAACTACCCTAGTCCTCTCTCACTGCAGCAGTTTGGGAAGTGCTGCATGGCCACTGCAGGTGCATGTCTCCCAGCAGGTGCAGGTCCAGGTTCGTCTGCCCTCAGTGTACCCCAGCCAGAGTGAGGAATGCACTGTCCCCTCACTCCCTGTATGAATCAGGGAGAGCTTCAGCCTCCTTTTGCCCTCCCTAAAGGGTGCCTCAAGGTGGGAGACTCAGGACTGGGGGCAGTACTGGAAGGGGGGGCATACCCCCAGCTAGCCCCTTTCACCTGCCTGGTCACTCTGTCTTTTTTTTGTGTGAGTTTATGAGAAGCAGTCCCATTCAAGGCACATCCCATTTTCCGGGCACATTTTTCCTTACCTTCCTTTAAGAGGAAGCTGTATACCGAATTTGGTGCTCCTAACTCTTTCCGTTTAAGAGGAGTTCTTGAACAAATAGGCAGGCAAATTCACAGACAGACAAACTCTCAAATATATAGTAGACCATTAACTGTATTTGTTGTTCTAGTGCCGGGGGTTTGGATTATGCTTTTCAGCCAAACACAAAAATCATCTCTTTGCCCTGAGGAAATTATTGTCTAAGATCCTTGAATGTATAATGAGCTGTGCCTAGGCACTGGGATCTGCACAAAACTCACTGAACAATTGTACCTGTTGCACAGATTGCAAAATCTAAATTCCTATGCATGAACAAAAATCTCTCACGTCCTCTGGCCTCAAATATTTTCTTCTAGATTATTCTTCTAGCACCTGAAATTCAAAGAGAAGATTAAACTACCAACCTCTGGTTCTCTGTTGCAGCCGTGGGTAACAGGAGAATGAAATTGCTAATGTTCCACATGCAAATGTAGAATGGGGTGTAGTAATGGAGATGGTTCTGATAAAGTGAAGATTGTATCTGCTCTGTTCGCTTTATGTTTGTGATTTCTGTTGTCTTGTAGTAACCCCGTGTGTGTGCCTCAGTTTCCCCGATATTTAGATGGTGATGGGAATTTGTATGTGAGTGTTTCCCTCATGGACACAATGGTTGATGCCTTCTGTAACCTGAGCCTGGGAGGAGGTGTGTGACCAGGTGACACTTTTTGCCTGGGAAGCTAGACAAATGCTGGAGACGGGGATGACTGCAGGGGGGAAAGTGGCTGTTGGGTGTGTGAATGAGGCTCACCGGCCTTGGGTGCAGAGTTGGGGGTGACTTGGCTCTGAGCGCCCTTTCCCCAAGATGGATTGTACTGACTGCTTCTGATTTCTGTGCTGACACATCTGCTATGCTGTGTCCCTGTCAGCTAATAAACCTTCTGTTCTGCCTGCTGGCTGGGAGTCACATGTGGCTGCAGATGGGGGTTCAGGGCCCGGTGACTCCCCGTGCCTTGGTGACCATGTTTAGGACCAGATAAGTTCTCATGTCTGTATGCACATGGTAAAGAAACACCAGGTGTCTTTCTCCTCCTTAGTTATTTTATTTTCCCTCAACACAGTTTACTTAGTGAAGGGGAAACCTCAAAAAGTCTTATTATTCAGTTCATCTAAGTGCCCAGAAGTTTGGATGGTTTTGTGCTTGAGGCATGGGAGTGGGAGTAGAGGGACCTCAGCTCTGTACCTGACTTTGCCTCAGAGTTACTTTTTATGTTGGAGTATATCATTTAATCTCTCTGGGTTTCCATTTCATAGTCTGTAAAATGAGGATAATGCTACCTGCCCCCTCATGGGAAGGGTGATAGGTTAAATTCTTCCCTTGGATTAGGGCATTCTAGGTTAGGGAGATCCTAGGTTAGTGTGAGCTATAGAAGTAAAGTGCAATGTATTATTATCCTGAATTTCTTGAGTCTGCAAAAACAGATTGTAACTAGTTCTTGAGATTTCAGATACTTCCTACCTCTAGAGGTGCTGGGCCTATGAAATCAGCTTTGTTTATGGTTGTTTGTCACTTGTGACTTGTGTCTCAGTGATGTTCCGGAAATCCAGAGACATGTAAAAAGGAAAAAAATGTGCGTGGCAGTTCTTATAATGCAATTCATCCCTAATTTTGACCCCTTTCTGATTATCTTAATTAAAGTCCTTGGAGCAGTGGGAAACTGAAGACCTTTCCATATTTTGCACCAATACCGTTGCTGTTTCATTTCAGACAGTTCTGTGCCTCTCAGTCTACACGTTTCTGATTGAGTTTGACAGGTTGGTGATTTTTACAAAACAGAATATGAAGACTCAAACAGGGAATGTCAAAGCAACTGCAGGAAACCCTCACTGTTCGCGGTGGATATTTTCCTGAATCCACCATGAATGGCAAAATTTGCGAATACTGGGAGCTATGGCTCCCAACCCCTGTGGTGAGCTTCCAGTGGCTTCTGAACCCATTGCGGCTGCCAGGAGGTGTGGGAAACTCATTGTCACTGTGGGCAGCTACCGGGAACTCACTGCAGCTGCCAGGAGCTACAAGGAACCCACCACAGGCGCTGGGAGCAATTCCTGGAATCGCAAAGGTCTCCTATATTCTGATGCAGCCAGCTAATTTTTACTTGGAGATGTGCTCAGTTTCACTAGTAAAAGAATTCACCTGCGAGGGGAAACTAATGGAATGTGAACATTGTCTGTTTTCAACTTCATAGCCCCTTCTAATCTACTTCTCTTGTAAATATTGACATCTCTTTCTACGAAGCGCTACTTTCTGCCTTAGAATCTTTGCATACATTCACCTAGAACCAATGTCTGTGATGCAATTCACTGTGGCTGGCGGGGTGGACAATAAAAGAACAATGCAAGCAGTCTCAGATCCCCATTCTGAGACTGAGCTCATTGTCCCCCTGCAAATCCTGCAATAGCTTCCATGACTTCAAGAGCTGGGAGACCTTGCTCCATGAGAAATCCCCTGTTAGGCATGGCAGTGGAAATGAGCAGCTGAATGACTGAGCTGACTTTGAAATGGTTTTGTTTACTTAGAAGGGGAGACTGTGCTTGCTTGCATCTGGCAGATTAAAACTATGGCAGAGGAGAGTAGATTGAAGGTATTTCTTGATTACTGGAGTGTTGTTAATGGTTCTTGAAATGCATTTGCAGCCCTTCTTGTCTGGTTTATTCTAGGCATTGTCCGATTATTTAAAATAATTTCTATCCTTCACATGTAGGATTCATCATCTTGCCTGTCATCTCCACAAGAGTTAATCTCTGAGCAGAACAAGGTGTAAAGTTGTGCGTTTGAGCACAAATTACAAGGATCACATAGCTGATGAAAGCGTTACATCTCAGGTTGATTCATGACAGATTTTTTTTGTTACTTTTTGCATCTTTTCAGTTATTTTGATACTTACCAAAAATAAAAGTTTATCTTCATTGTGGATATATTTTGCAGTGGATTTGTATAAGTACCGTCTTCTGGTGCTATTCAAAGACCAAAAAAAAGTTAAAATATCATGGAAAGGAAGAGATTACCATCTGGACTCTGAAATGCCTGATCCTTCATTGCTGAAGGAAAACTGGGCCATGTAAAATATCTAAGGGTATGTCTACACTACAGCGCTAGTTCGAACTAACTTAGTTCGAATTAGTTAGTTCGAATTAGCTTAGTTCGAATTAACGCATCTAGAACTAAAAACTAGTTCGAATTAGCGTTTTGCTAATTCGAACTAGCGCATCCACACTGATTGGACGCAGGGGGGCATTTAAGGGCAGCTGAAACCGATTCTGGCAGGGCATCAGGTCAGTAGTTGCTTTGTGTGGCTGCTGTCTGAGGCTATCTGAGGCTCGTGCTTAAAGGGACCCCCCTGGACAGCCGGTTCTCAGCTTTTCCTGCTTGCTTGCCAACCTCGCCGAGGGACAGCAAAGCGTCGGTCTCTGTGCCCGTCTGTGTCGGTGCTTCCCTTCAGGGGGGCCGCCGCAGGTGGCAACATGGAGCCACAGCTCGCCCTGCACCTTCTGGTGCACGTTCTGGACTTGCTGCTGCAAGCCTGCCAGCAATGGCTCGAGGCTGCCTGGCACCACCTGGGGAACGTCAGCCCCCTGCCT